TGCTGAAGAAATATTTAATGGTAAAATTAAAAACAAATTATTCAATGATAAATATCTTCTTCAATCAGATAATTTTCAAAAATTAATGATTGATATTAATGCAATTAAATTAAAATTAAAAACAAATATTAAATGTCATATTATTTATATTAATATAGATAAATATGAATTTTATATACAAAATGATAATGATACAATGATAAAAATTAATAATGAAATAACAACAACAGATGATATTTCATTAGATGATATTAAAATTAATTCAATGGTTATTGCATTATATGATAATGAACTTTGTCGAGCAATAATTCAAGAAGATTTAAATGAAAATGTTCGTCTTTATTTTGTTGATTATGGTTATACAAATATTTATTCAAAAACATTATTAAAACAATGTAATGAACAATTAAAAACATATCCATATCAAGCTAAACGATGTCATTTATATGATATACCATTAGATATGTTAGATGAAGCATTTAAAAAACTTCATGAATATATTAAATCAGATAAAATTGAAATTTCTATTATTAATCAACATGAAGATTTATTTGATGTTCTTATTTATATTGATGATGAATGTTTTAATAAACAATTCCATAAACAATCATTAATAATTGATCAATATGAAACAAATAATGATATTAATGATCAATCAAGTACAACAACTATTAAAGAACAAGAAAAACCAATAAGTACAACAGGAAAACGAAATAATGAAGAAATATTATCACCAATTGGAAATTCATTAACTACATCAATGAATATTAAAAGACAAAAAAGTGAATCAGAGATAGAATGTATGTATCAAATAAAGAAAAACCTGTCGCTGTCATGATAGACATCTTCGTTACTGTATTGCATCGTATATGTTTGTCCTCTTGAAGTTTCACAACAAGTAGAGAAGTGTAGTTTCTGTTTACTGACTACCGACAGAGTTACTCACGGTAAACTTTTTTTCGTACTCTATACTCTAAATGATGCCGGCTAGGAAGGTGCGGATCCAACCTTTTAGTTTATACTCGGCCCAGTTACACGTTTTTGTGGACCCGCTGCTTGCCAGATGAGAAATACAGCAATAAGGTATAAGTGTACGTTGAGTTTTCTTCTGAGAGTAGCGAATAAATAGCTAAAACCTTGATCCTTCACTTGTTCATGTACATGAAGAATGCCAGGTATTGATGGAAAAAATCTTGGGTTTGGATCCGAATCCACAGCTCCCTACTATAGATACTACATAGTATTCTAATAAAAACCTTAAAAGGGCTTGGATTTCTATTGAGGTTTGATTTAGATACTCCACTAAAGATTTCAACACAAGTGCTGCAATAAGAATCTGCAGAAAAATCAAAACTAGTGTTCTGAATTCTATGCGAAACTTTTGGGGAAAAAGATATTATTTGATTGAACGAAATGAGACGTCTCATTTCGCTCAATTAAATAAAATCTGTCCTCTCAAAAGTTTCGCATAGAAGTCAGAACACTAGTTTTGATTTTCCAAAGGCCATCATCAAAGCACTTTTGTTGAAGCCTATCGATCTTAGTAGAGAATCCTTTCAATTACGCAAATGTTTTTTTTTCACGGATTCTTACTAACTATTATCACCGACAAGAAGATTTAAAAATACAATTGCTCAACACTTTTACCTACTACTATATACAATATTTTTTTTTTGAAAGGTTCATATCTCAAAGAGACTCTATTCAAAACTTGTGAATTGCTTAGTCAAATCTCAATACGAACCCTAATCTTTTTAGGATTTTTATCAAAATATTGTAGTATCTATGAGCAAACAAAAAAAATCAGTGGAATCAGAAACGGACATCTGAATATAGTCACGGGATTAGCACAAACTTTTTTTAAATTGAAATCAAAACTGTTAATTCAGCTCATCATAAATAAATCATAGAATGCTCTAAATAATTTTTGTTTTTCAGTAAATTCAATACAATATCATCGAGCTATTCTTACATATACTGATGAAAATAAACCAATGGTTTATGTTCAATTAGTACCTGAATCGGAAGCAATGATGGAACAAATCAATGATCTAATTGATAGTATTGTTCAAGAAAATAAACACAATTCTTCATATGAAATAGGTGATTGTGTTATTGCACAATTTACTGATGATATGCATTATTATCGTGCTCGTATTGAATCATATTCAGATTTAACACAAAATTATACAGTCTATTTTCTTGATTATGGAAATTTTGATAAAAATGTTCCAAAAAATAATTTATATTCATATTCAGATGAATTACAACGATATGACCCACAAGCTCATGGATATTTATTAGAAAAATTAACATCAGAAATATGGATTAATAAAATTCGAAAATTAATTAAAGATAAAGAAAATGAAGAAATTGAATTTTATTTTATTGATAAAAATCAATCAATAATACATATTAATTTTGATAATGAAGATCAAATATATAATTATGATACTAATCAACCAAAAACATTTACAGCAAATATATCAGGTACAAATAATGATTGTTTTTATATACATATATTACCTGATACTGATACACTTATTTGTGAAATGGATGAATTATTAGAAACACATATAAATGAATATCATACTTCAGATTTATGGTTAATTAATGATTTATGTATTGTTTATAATAATGAATTAAATCAATATTTTCGTGGAAAAATTCTTTCAATTAATAATAATAAATATGATATTCAATGTATTGATTATGGTAATATACTTTCAAATATAACAAATGATAAAATTTATTTATTAATAAATAATAATTTATTAAAACAATTACCATTAGCACGACAATGTCGTTTATATGGTGTTAATAATAAAAATCAAATAAAAGCAATTAAAGAAATTATTCAATATATACCACAAACAGAACGTGTTACAATAACTGTTGAAAATGATCAAAATGATCAATGTATGGATGTTATGTTATTTAGAGAAAATCATGAAATTGTTAATGATCGATATCAATTTGATGATAATGATATTAAAGTAAGATTTTTTTTTTTTAATGAATATATAGTGTATATCAAAAGTTATCTTTACTATTCAATTCAACTAACAAGGGAACTATCGAACTCCTTTCGATGTCTATGGTAACGAATTGGGCTTGGTGAGGTTAATGAGGGAAGGTTCCTAATTATTGAATCGCTTTTTTTTTTTACTAAATCTAGTGGATTATAGATCATTAGAAACATAATTTTTTGTTTTCCTTTCTGATTTTTACAGACAAAAAAAGAAAGAAGTTTTGAAAATGAAAGAGTTATATTTCTAGTGGCCTCACTGATGATTCCAAAATAGAGAAAATTAGAGTTTTATATAGCCAACTCGATGTATTCTACAATCTGAATATATCGAAAATTTTTCTCTCTAGAAATAACTGAATTTCTAGAAATGAATCTATAGAGTGCTAGCTGTCGTTCTCGTATTGGTATTCGGAATCATCAGTTTCGATAGTCTAAAATTCATTAGATTTTGTCAAGCATAAGACAATCTTAAAAGGATTCGAATTAGGCATGTACGATCGGAAGACATTACAAACGAGTCTAATTATTTTAAGATCATAATTCTTTATCAACAAGCTATGGGTTCTAATTTGTTAAAGTTTTTGTTAGTCTTTAGTTCCGTTCTACATATATCTAAAAACTATTAATAAGACAAATCAAACTTCATTTGTGCTAAAACTCTGATTCTCTTCTACTAATAGCATAGAACTATATTTAATCATATATACAGCATTTATGTGAATGGAGAGAGTATTCACTGCTCCTAATATCCTGAAAATTCTCATTTATAAACAAGTATCGAAAATTGAAAATTTTTGTTTTTAATTCATTTAGCGTATCGTTGGATAGAGCACATTGAGTTACCCAAAAGAAACCTTATATCAACATAAGGTTTTCTTTTTAGTCAATTCTATAAAAAAAATTTTTTTCTAAAATTAGAAAACTAATTTCTACTATTTCTTTATATAGATCTTTTACTTAAATTCTATTAGCTAAATATTAATTTCTTTTTTTTTTTTAGCAAAATACAGATACTGATAAACAAGATACTATATTAACAAATTCATCTGATTCAGCAATAGCAGCTGATGATGATGAAACATCAAATGTTGATGTTATAACAATAAAAAATGATCAACATTTAACATCACCAATTGGTACACCTCAAGCTGAAAGTACACATCAATTTGGTGATTCAACAAATGTAACTATGAGTAATTCATCACCATCAATGACAATAAATCAAACAATTGATTTTGGTGAAAATGATCCATCAACATCGAATACAACAATAAAAGATGATACTGAAAATGAAAATGTATTAAATTGATGTGTGATATTTGCATTTTGTTTATTTGTTCTTTTTCTTTTTTTCTCTTTATTATAATAAAAAAAAAAAAAAAAAAAGCAAAACTGTAATTATACTAATTATTCTTCTATTAAAACTTATCACTGTTTTTTTCTTTTTTCGTTTTCTTAAACTGTTCAAGATCTCGTGCAGATGTCTCTCTGTTTGGATATAAGATTTGTTTGGTTTTTTTTGTTTTGTTTTGTTTTCTCGGTTTTTTTTTTCGTTTTAAACAGCTAAATATTTCAAAAAAGAAAAATTTAGCCTGTTTCAAACTGTTTTTTGTAGGTATGTTTGTTCTGTTTTTCTTTATTTTAGAAATAAAAATGTAGAAAAGAAAATTTTATTCTATTCAAAGAAATATTAAAACTAAATTAGATTTTTCATCGATTAATATATGAGAAAAAAAAAGTACTGACCTTGTTTTTTGAACCTTATGATGTAATAATACCAATATGGTAATGGAGTATGGTATTTGTATCATATTAGCAATACCAATACCAACGATACCAAATGATATTAGTATTATTACATTCCTATTGCTGACATTTACATAATAATATTAGAAGATTTTAATAAAAGTTGACAGACTAGATTTACTGTGATTATTCTGCTGACAAATTTTATTTCCTTGTCGACATATATTACTAATGATCAAAATGATTTTATCTAGTTGTGATATAATGTAGATTTATCCATGTATAAATTTGTATTCTTTCTTATTATTATTATGAAACCTTTTTAATGATAATGAATGAACAAAAAACAAATCTTATTTCCTTATGAAATATAATTTTTTGATAATGATATAAGATTTTGTTTATGAATTAATTTCTTTTGCAATAGATAGAACTAGGAAAAATAACGCTACTAAATAGAAACGTTTTTATTTTGAATACATTCCATCATGTAAGTAGAAATCCATTCCAGAACAAAATCATATTAATTAGATTTCGATCTTTTATAAAAATATCCAATAACGAAACAGTATCATGATGGAAAATTTTCACGCTATGTTTCATTCACAGCTTAAGTATTTATATATATATGTAAATCATTTTCGAATTATTGCTAAATTTCTACTATTATTAAAATATCCATACCATAGTCAATTATATAAAGTAAATAGAGTATTTCAATAGCTACAAAAATATATCTAAATTTTGGTTTTTATAATGAGAAATAAAATACAACATAATAAAGAAGGATAGAACAGTAATTAGCATTCAAAGTTAAATAATTCTATCAAAACGAAAACATCCCTTTCAGATCAAAGTTTTTATTTCATAGCGATTATACCAAATAGTTCTATGGCTACACTAAATTTCAATTCATAAGTAACTACTAGTAAGAGTTTTTCGATGAGAGTATATTGTTCTAGTATTGATTTTGTATTGAATAAATTTATTGTTTGTCTATAATTATGATAGAACGTTTTCAAAATAAAAATATCTCTGTCGAATAGATTTTCCTAAGCTCTATTATAAAAATAATTGCATAAAAAAAATAAATTCTAAACGAATAAGTTTTTATCAATAAGTCATTAATCATACAATCAACAGATCTGTATTAAAAAGAAGAAAAAAAATCTGAAAATGCATTGAAGTCAAAAAACACGAAAGAAAAGAAGTATTGAACTATTATGAGATGAGTTTTTTAAATATTTCTTCCGCCGGAGACAACTTAAGAAGGAACATACTTCGATATACAAGTCATTTTGATGTCATATTTTGATTATAAGTTGATTTCAATGAGCTATAGAAAAGCTAAAAAAACGAGTCATTCACTCAGATATTCATTATTGAGATATTGAATTTTACCGATAGAATTAAATGTTTCTCATTAATTCATGTTTTCAGACTCTAGATTCAAACTTTGCCCATGTCAAAGCCTCAATTAAACAAGACTACATAAAAAATTTCAGAAATTTTGAAACATAGTCTTTTTGAGATAGAATATTTCAAAAATTTTGCATACAATCTATCCTAGCTAAAGTCTTGAGATAGAGACTCGCACAAGACTTCGGTGGAGTTAATTAATTTTTTTCTTATGTAACATAATTTGATGGAAATTTTATTTGACATTCATTGTAAGTATCTTGAATACACAAAAAATATTCAAAAATTTAATTCATTTTAATTTTTCTGTCGAATACATCTATTTATTCACTCACAATACTTCAAACTAATTAGATATGATTCGTAATAATATACTAATCTTAAATTACATAATATCTCTGAATATGTAAACTGTCGTTAATTTACAGAAAGAAAAATTTTCGGAGTTAGAATTAAAAAGTTTGACTTCGTAGGTATCTACCTTGATATGAGAAAAACTTCATATTCAAAAATATGATTTTACTAGAAATATAATGTTCGATATTGTCTGAAGGACTAAATCTTTTTTCATATATTTAATCGAGATCTACTTATGATATCAAAACGATTTGAACATCTGCCTATGTTCGTTTATTAGCAAAGATTTATTATATATTATAACAAAACATAGATTTGAAAGTAAAATGGATTATGTATTTCTTTTTTTTATAAATTATTCAAAGAAAACCGCCTAAGATTGAAGGCTGTAAGGTAATATTTGATTTTTATTTTGTATGATGAATAAAACAAAATATCGATTATATTTATCATTATTGACTTAAAATTGATATGTTAAACAGGTCTCTTGTTTTTTTTCTGTTCTTGTATTAGTAATAATAGTTATTTTGCATATCAAATTTTAATTTTTCTACTGAGATTTGTTGTAACCAGCTTTTCTATATTACTTATATGCAAATATGAATTAAAGATGATATATTGACAAATATAAATACATGAAAGAAAGACAAAAAAGATGAAAGTATTAAAACAAATTTTCAATTATAAGGTTTTATTTTTAACAAATTCTCATTTTACACTTCTCACGAAAAGAATTTCATCGAAACAAAGGACACATATCAAGTTTATTATAATATGTGATGAATAGGCAACAAAAAACAAAAAAGACGTTGTCTGGCACACGTTGAATGCATGATTACAATAGAAGATTATGATTGGCTATATATAAAAAATTTTCTTTTCTAACGTCATCTATCCTAATATCTTATTAATGTCGTTCATGTCTGTCGTATTCAGTTGCTAAGCAATGACGCTGCCTCATACAATATATATTGTTCGCCGTCCGATGTTCGTTCTCTTTGTTCGAGTGACTAATCACGATGTTCGCCTTTTTCTGTATATGTCTAGCACTTTTGACTCGCTATTACTGCCGATATGTAAGAGCGTCCGAGAGAAAGAGAGAGAGAGAGAGAAAGAAAGCGAAAGAGAAACAAATAAATAGTTTTAGTCTATCTTTATGCTCACATACACGCATCCTTATCCTAAGCCTGATGTATTCTGGGAACGGGCAAATCGATGTCGATTTTGCTCACTTATATATTACCATCAGTTGTTTCTTCTCATAAAAAAAAATCGATATATATATATATATTGTTTTAGATCTATCCTTTGTTTAACAATTAGCTTTTCATCAAGCCAAATTAATAAAAACAAAAATGTCGACCAAAGATGAAGAAGTACAACGCGCTAAATTAGCCGAACAAGCTGAACGGTATGAAATATATATACAAAAATAATTTCAACAAAAACTTTAACTCGTTTTTTTTTTTATATTTTAGTTATGATGATATGGCAAGTGCAATGAAAAAGGTTACTGAATCAAATAATGAATTAACAAATGAAGAACGTAATTTACTTTCGGTTGCATATAAAAATGTTGTTGGTGCCCGTCGTTCATCATGGCGCGTTATATCAAGTATTGAACAAAAAACGGAAGGCTCAGAACGTAAGCAACAAATGGCAAAAGAATATCGTGAAAAAATTGAAAAGGAATTAAAAGATATTTGTCAAGAAGTTTTGGTAAATAAATAATCAAAACAAAAAAAAAAAAATAATAATAATATATTGATTTATTTTTATAGACATTACTTGATAAATATCTTATTCCAAAAGCAACAACAGCTGAATCAAAAGTTTTTTATTTAAAGATGAAAGGAGATTATTATCGTTATTTAGCTGAAGTTGCTACAGGCGAAGAACGACAAAGTAAATGATATAAGACTCAAGACAAAAAGAAAAATTAATTTTTATTTTTTATAGAAGTTATTGATGAATCACAACGTGCATATAATGATGCATTTGATATTGCCAAAGGTCAAATGCAACCAACACATCCAATACGTCTTGGTCTTGCTTTGAATTTTTCTGTTTTTTATTATGAAATTCTTAATGCACCTGATCGTGCTTGTCATTTAGCTAAACAAGTAAAAACAAAAAAAACAAAATTCCTATTTGATTTTTTTTATATATTTCAGGCTTTTGATGATGCTATTGCTGAACTTGATACACTCAATGAAGATTCATATAAGGATAGTACGCTTATCATGCAATTACTTCGAGACAATCTCACATTATGGACCAGCGATGCTCCTGATGCCGATGAAACAAATCCACCTGAAGAACATCAATAATTGTTTCGTATATTTCTCTTCCCTTTTTCTTTTTCTTTTTTTTTTTTTTTTGTCTGTGTACAACACACACACACACAGATATATACACACGCATACAACCGGTCACCAACCAATTTGACAAAACAATGGAAAAAAAAACCCACAAACTTTTTCTTTCTTCCTTTCTTTTCTCTTTTGACTCTTCTCTCTATCCAACTACGCTTCTTTATATTTTTATTTGTTCGTCGATGTCAACTTTCTTTCTTTCTTTCTTTTTGTCTATCCCTATCTATCTCTTCCTCTCTGTGTGTGTGTTGGTTGTAATGGCTTTTTTTTTGTTCTCATTAGCTGTTTGTTCATTATTCTTCTTCAACTGTTTGTCTCATTTTTTCTCTCTCTCTCTCTCTCTCTCTCTCTCTTTTTGTCTATCATCCATGTGTTGTCGGCATTGTATGTCTTGTGTAGAAAACGAAGAAAA